GCCCCCACGGCTGAACGGGCGAGCATGTTTGATGTGACGGGGATTCGAACCCGCGACCCTCAGAATGCGAGTCGAGCGCCCTAACCACCTGGCCATGCTGGGCCACCCTTGGAAAAGAAGACAATTCATTTTTTCTTATTCTTTCAGTGTGATCTGGTGCTTATGTGTTGAACAAAAGATGGTATTATTCTTAGACAAAAAAGGCAGAACGTTTGTTACTGGTTTTAGTTTGAATTTCACCCAAATCTACTCGAGGGCTATTTGCTCTAGCCATCCCCAATTTAGCAGTGATAGACTACAGGGAAGGCAGCTAGTCAACATCACCCACCGGCAACTGTTGAGCTACCTTTTTACCAGTGAATAGTGATAGTGATCTTCACATTATAACGCCCCCACGGCTAAAAGAGCGAACATGTTTGTTTGGTAGGGCTGGGATTCGAACTCGCAGATCGCGAGTCGAGCGCCCTAACCACCTGGCCATGTCAGGCATTATATATAAAGATTAATGATCGTGTATATATATCCTTAAAACTTTATATATTAATACATACCTTGTTAGCAGTGAATAAACAGTTCCAGACTTAACACACCCAGGTTTCACGCCCAATGCCTTTTGTTTCGAAGTTACAAAAATTATATGAATAATTTTCTACATTTAGATTGCCACGTCGTAAGCGCTGAAGCTCAAGGCTTACAAAAAAAGTTTGACGTTATTCTACATGGGTAAAATTGGGAAATGTTAATTTTTTCACCATCCAAATTCAAAACTTGTTGCTATTCCTAAGCATTTCGGCCTTGACTGACAAGCCTTACATTACACAATCAACATGGTTAACGCTGCGTTTGCTGCGAATTGTTACCCCATCAGTTGGAGCCCATCTCTGTCTTCTAACTGCATTTGTCCAGGGTATTTATTCGTTTTATATGATCTCCGGGAAACTTGAAGAATCAGATTTTTTAATGTATATTTATTTATCACTCCTGGTGACAAAAAAAACCGGATACTTTTTCATGTGACGCCTGTCCAAACAAAGAGAGGGTGACGTCACCGCTAAGGTCCTTATTAGAAAGGTGCATATGTCGCAAAACGGTTGAATTTTAGTATCTGTAAATAGTTCTTGTAATATGGATTAATCCTCTATATAAGTGTCACATTGAAGACATATTCACCGTATTTGAATTACAAGATCTGCAAAGTACTTGAAAGGCAACCAAACGTCCAAAGCGGTCTGGGAAGCATATTGAAAAATCAGTTGAGCAACTGTACATAAAACAACCATCAGTAATGGTCTTTGTTGAACCATCTTACCAAAATAATCTCTGTATCAATGGTTTCCAAACTAGGGTCCTTGAGGTGCTCTCAGAGTACCTTAGCACACGTTAAAATACTTTTGAAACTTTCCTCACACCTGTCAAAACAATATTTTCACTGAAAACTGTACTTATTGTAATAACTATGACTATATAACGTTATTTATGTTTAATAGTTTTCCTTTTAAGAACAGATAGCAACAAATATGGGCGTCCGCAGGGAGGTGGGGGGCACTTGCACCCTGCTTTAAAATAAGAAACAATTCTTTCTATATTCATTCAGCATATGTATGGGAAGTTTTTATTCACTTCACAATTTCACACCGCTTTGCCCCCCCCCCCCCGAAAAAATTTCTACGGACGCCAATGGCAATGAAAGTAAGGGAGAAACCATCGTGCTTTGTGAATCGCAATGTACACGTATAAAAAAAAACCAAGGTCAAACCTTCGTACACGCTAATTGCCTCAAGCAGTATTGATTTAATAAAGAAACAATAAGAACTCTTGCGTTAAGCCTGGAAACCGAAAACATTATTACAATCCTTACAATAATACCAGACACCAACAATGTTAGATTCTTCACTTAAATAATCGTCAAATTTCTCAAGAAAGATGTATTTTACAAAAAAAAGCGTGCTTAATGCACACTCTCACGTAACAATGGCTTGCGCAATACTCTTTGAAAAGTAGTCCACTTTTCAAACTTTTTACTTAGGTTCTTAAAAAAAAAATGGGAGAGCGACTTATGTCTCACGTGATCATAAATTAACGATATGTATGATTGTTATATATGGCCTAGGTGTAACTGCAGTGACAGTGTAGTGTTCGAGATTACTTGTATGCGCATGTGTACGTGACTGCTTACTCTACGCATGTGGTTTTATACCACGCGGAAAATCGAAGCGTGAGATGTACGTGCGATGTTATGTATGTTTTCATAAACGTATCTGGGTTTCTTTGTATTGTAAAAACGTAAAGCGTTGCAAACATTACACCAAATAGTATCGTGTAAAAAAATCTGTTTATTCGACAAATACTGGATGTACTTTACAGTTAGGTGAAGTGATGTTTTTATTGCCTTATTACAGCTTAGAGTTAGAGGTTAAGTTATACTATACTATAAGTGTAAGACGTTAACGCGGAGTACAACATAGCTGGATTTGTCAAATACTTCGAAAGATTCATTGTATTCTACCTTGGAAAAAACACAGTGAAGCAAAGATTGAACCTCAGCGAAACCCCAAGAATAGCGTCTCTACTTTTTTTGTATCTGGACGAAACCTCTCTGGGGCACTATATCCCAAAAACCTGCAAACTCTTGAAGTTCTGGTGATTACCATCTTTTTCTCACCGTTGTTGTTTTACTAGTGTAGACACATCCCTGTGTCAACACAGTTTTAACAGGTATTGTGCCAGCTTTCTGTTTGTTCACTTCAATACAACTATTGTAAAATAAATATTCTGTGCATGCCGTAAGAAACTTTAGCCCTGAATTTTCAAAGCAGGAATTCTGTACACGTTAAATTCTAGCTAGTTTTAATGTACTTGTAGCCATAAGTCAAGAGGATTTCACTTGAAATTATGTTCGATCAATCGTCTTCAAAGTTCGGTTACCCGGAACGATTATATCGCAAAGAATTCAAACGGAGCTAATAGTATTAGTAATAGTAATAGCAATCAGAAAGTGATGCGATAGATGTCTTATTATTATAAGCTAACAATAAAGTTAATCGTAGTGCTACTCTTACGTAGATGTTAATTTATTATTGAAAATTATGATTAGGAGTCTAATCATAGTTTTCGATATTATTAAGGATAATTCTATTAACGAATATTTGAGTAGCAGTTATCATTAGGCTTAACCATTAATGATAAAGGTATTCATATAAAATATATTATTATTACTATTAGTAGGGGTAGCATTAGGAAATTTACTGAAAGCACCACTATATATTCAAATATATTCAAAGCACCACTAT